TCTACGAAGATCTTTATCGGTCAAACCGCATAACAACATACATCATTCCCTTTGTCATCGGTATGTTACTTGCCCGAGATTCGATAGTCGGTATCATCATACCTAGTTCAATCTCGTTACCAGTAAGTCTCTTTTACTCGTTCCATAATGCATCATCCCGTAACTAACTCGTTAGTTATATTGCTTGCAAGGCTTATAGTGATGTGCATTACCGAGAGGGACCAAAGATACCTCTCTGATACACGGAGTGACAAATCCTAATCTCGATCTATGCCAACTCAACAAACACCATCAGAGACACTTGTAGAGCATCTTTATAATCACACAGTTACATTGTGACATTTGATAGCACACAAGGTGTTCCTCCGGTATTCGGGAGTTGCATAATCTCATAGTCTGAGGAACTTGTATAAGTCATGAAGAAAGCAATAGTAATAAAATTAAACAATCATTATGCTGAGCTAATGAATGGGTCTTGTCCATCACATCATTCTCTAATGATGTGATCCCGTTCATCAAATGACAACACATGTCTATGGTCAGGAAACTTAACCATCTTTGATTAGCGAGCTAGTCAAGTAGAGGCATATTAGGGACACTTTGTTTGTCTATGTATTCACACATGTACTAAGTTTCTGGTTAATACAATTATAGCATGAATAATAAACATTTATCATGATATAAGGAAATATAAATAACAACTTTATTATTGCCTCTAGGGCATATTTCCTTCAATTAATGGTGGAGAGAGAGGCAAGAGGTAGTGGAGGTAGGTGGAAGAACCTCCTTTATATAGCAAGCCCTATAATCCAACCGTTGCTGCAAAAAATGCACAGTAGCGGTACAACCGCTCCTCAACCCGTTATAACCGGGATTCACGGGTACCCTGCAGAAGACCTGACAGGCGGTACAACCGGACAAACAAGCGTAGTACCGGTTATCAAGATCAACCGGAACAACCGCTCTGCCACCGCTCAACCACCGCTTTGAAACAGAAGGGAGTCACCCATGTGAGCGCTGATCGGGCGGTAGTGCGTCGGTACTACCGCCTGGCCCTGGTACCCTGGGTGGCTAAGTCCTAAGCAGTAGAACCGCTTAGAGCACCAGTGGTACTAGTGTGCAGAGCACGACCGGAACAACCGGGCCACCACGGCCCGAGTACCGCATCAAAACAGAAGCATGTCCGATTGTTGAGCGGTACCTGGCCGGTATAACCGCCAATGACACACCACATACATTTTCAAGTATGGTGGCGGTACCACCGCCCGGGGGCAGCGGTACAACCACTTGGTCATGTACTGGGAGGTTCAACCCCATGGTATCACCCCTGGGGTGGTGGTTGGGCCGGTGCAACAGATCCAGCGGTGCAACCGCTCAGGCGAGCGGTGCAACCGCTAAGAGGAAAGATCACAACCATAGTATGGATTAGGAACCTCTCTCAAGCAAGGAACGGAAGGCAAAGGTGGGTGAGGAATATGTGTATGTTCAATGATTCACCCAACTCCTTCCGATGTGGATTCCCTCTTAATAGTACGGGTTTCCTACGACCAAAGAGATAAACACGTAAATGAACACCGTCTTCGATCTTTTCCTTCCAGAGAGAATGACTAATCGATGCAAGCCTAATCACCAATAACCTGAAGCATTTAACACAAGATTAGACCAACAGAGAGTTGTCATCATCATCCAAAACACAAAGTAGGGAAATGACCTAACAGACCTAACATCAGTTAGGATGTAGCATACCTTCTCGGTATGAGTGGAATTTTGTTTTGAACCGGAATTGGAAGTAAAAATCCATGTGATTGATGTATGTTGTGGCTACATACTCACATGGATCACTCAGTTTGGGTATTTATATTGAAGCCATTGAAAGGGCTTAATATTTCAAATCCTATGACAAATCGCAACATGTGTGTGTCAAGCTTCAGAAGTCATTCTATGACTCTCAACAGGTTGGAGACTTGTGTGGTACAACCGACTAAGTGAGTTGCTCCTTGATAAGGATTACTCTAATACTAATGAGTTACTCCTTGATAAGGATTTACATTATTTTAGTGATGGATGATCTTATCATCAATGTGTATACAAGACATATGAGATACACACAATCATTTTAAGATGGATATTTGGGTCAAACCAAATGATGCTAAGTTTATAGCTTGAGCATATTCCCTCAGGAATAAATGTATATCATTCTTCATATATCTAGAAATATCGGAAAAATTTCAATATGGATATATCAAAGACACATATGGTCATATTATTCCTGACATGGGATAAAAGCCCATTCAGGCTGAGGGGAGATGGTGAAGTGATAGTGGACCTAAAGTTCCATATTTGAATACCATCGAAGGTTTCATATATATATTGCAAAATATGTCAAGCCTGACATTATATTTGTCGGCAATATATTGAGAGTGCAATCCCTAAGAAAAAGGTATAATGGTTGATGTAAGGAATCCTCATATATGTCCAAGAGACAACAGATCTTGATTAATTCCATGGGGGAAATCAAGATGGCATCATGCTGTTATATCCTGATAGTGGTTAATAATTTGATCCCAGTTGTGTCATATCAAAGACTGGATTTACTTGAAGAGTATTCCGAGGGAAGCCTTCAGAATGGACTCTAAATGGGTCCTTCCAGTGATCATTTTGTTGTAATTATTTTATTTGAAACATCACAAGATGTGTATGGCTTCGCAGAATGACTGGCCACATGTGAGATTATGTAGAGATTCATTGGAATCGGCTATCATTATCTACCAAGATAATGTCACTTGTAAGAGGATAATCTGCAAACAAATTATTGTGATATTCACAATGTCTCTACCAACATTTATATTCCATAATTAGGTTCATAGAATTGGTACAAGACAGCATTGAGGTTTGCAAACTTTAGGGGGGGTAAAATCCCAAGTTATACACTTTGGTGATCTTCAGATCATTCATATTACACTCTTTTTTCTTTATGAGTTTTCCATGATGGTTTATAATATAAGTTTTTTAACGAGACAATATAAATACAAGTGTGGATATATTCCATATTGATTTCTCCTTATATTTTTCCCACTGGGTTTTAAAGAAGTTTTTGATTGCTTATTATTATAATGTTTCTCCTTAATTTTACCCACAGGGTTTTTGGAGGAGTTTTTAGTTTGCAATATACAGATGACGAGTTGATCAGGGCAGGTGTTGAGAAATAAAATATGTGATCAATTGTATGGGATGGATGCCTCCCAGGAAGTGCCTGTTGAAAAGGTGTCTCCTCAACACACACCCTCATCATGTATATAAGTGGGTCTTCCACATTTCAATGAAACTAGTGATTCATTTGGACTCTTCGTTTGTCTGTTTTGCTTTTGCTCTACAACACATATGATATTCATTTACATTGGCAGGACTTTTATCAACATCATAAAGCAAATCATTGGGACCGCCTATACATAAGGTAAATTTGCCTTGATTATCATACACAAAAGAGGCAGTACGATCCCAAATTTGACTAGTGTCACGTTGGTATTGGTCACCATAAATACGTTCAAAAGAAAAAGCTACACTAGTGACTAGGTATACTATAGAGGCGATAATCACATGGAAGTTGGCATAATGAACTTGATCCGTCCACAAAGACCACCTAATTTGCCTCTTGAAGAGACTACTATACTATCTACAATGTCAAAGCGATTAACAAGATCAACTCTGTTTTTTTTGCGGGAACAACTCTGTTGGCTTCAGAAAAATATATTTTGGAAACAAAGGTTACCTGGGCGTTAGTTGATCGCATCAAATTGTGAGGTAAAACCATCTTCTAGCTAACAAGACCCTCACCTTTGCCTCGACGGTTCTAGGCTATCAATTTGATAGAGCTATTCCTAGTGACAATATTGGTACACCCAAAGAATACATTTATCAAGGCATTAATCTAGCATATTCCTAGTGTGACCATCCTCTTTTGCTCCCTCATGAACGAGGTTGAACAGGATAAGTGGTCAAATGGATACGATTGATGAGGTTTAGGGGAATCAATGAGTAGCAACATGAACCAAAGACACCATAATGGTAATCTTACTGGCCCTGGACACAGAATGGTACACATACAAATAAGTTAGTACAAGATTTTATAAAAAAAATTAATTTATCAGCTTGTGATTGATAAATAGACGAGGGAGCCGGCCCACCCC